ACTGTAGGCATTTTACCCTTTCATCATGCTGACTGTATCATTTATATTTTACTAATAATATTTGCAGTGTCTTTATAGGTCCTGACACATTTTAGGCTCTTAACCTGTAGCAATGAATGGATGAATACATCTTAAACCTTAGGTTGAGCTCTGATTCTATTATTCTCTCAATTATTGTAGACAAGTTTTTGGACTATTCCAAGCCTCAGTTTTCTCTTTTCTAAAATAGGTATAAATGAATTAGATCTACTGAACTGGGTTTGGGGAATAATTAAACAGTATTAGAAATTAGAACAATCTTAGAACACCTTTTTTGCAAAGTATGAGATGTTCTAATTAGCCTAACTTTGGCTTTCCTTTTTACATGCAGTAGATAATTATGCATTTGCCAAGGAACAATCTCCAGACTTAGCCTATTGGTTGCCAGAGTCCATTTGAAGAATCACCCAGCTGAAATTACAGCCACTCTTGAGTATTTCTTAGCTTTTAGCTATCTAAGTGGTAAGAGCAACTAATTTCAGATGAAAGCTTGTTGACAGGGAACGGTCTGTAAGAAAGTAAAATTCCCCTTTACAGAGCAACCTGGATTTGGAATCCATTCTGCATAAGATGTTTACCTGTCACTTCCAAAAGGGGGAGGGAACTATGACACAGCTGCTGTTCCCAGGAGAAAAGCTTAGACCTAATACATTGCCCAAACTCAGTGTTGTTTGTTTGTTACTTGCCAATGTACCATAACTTGAAAGAAAGAAGGATGCATGTACTTATTGCTAATGCTGGGGAATTGCCATTAAGGCAGTTGGCAGAATGGCTGACATTTTAACAGTCATAGGTCAGATAATTTTCTACATCTATCCAAGAGAGGATTTGACCAAGGATTGAAAAAAAAAAAATCAAATTATTCTGTTCACTTGGCTGCATCTAAATGTCTCATTTTCAGTTTACAGGAAAGATTGCTATGGAAGCAGTCTGACATTACCACAGAATGACCATAAATGCTTGAGTAACTTGGAACTTCAAATGTATTATAAAAACACGGGAAAAGTCACTGTTGGAGGTAGAACTCAGAAAGGATTTCTGACTTATGTTTTGCTCCTCATATCATGCTTATAGTTGAACTTTTATAGTAAGATATGTTTTAAATCACTATTTACTCACTTTCCCAGAGGAAAATTACCTTACAGCTCACAAGGAAAGTCAGGGTCAAACTGAAAACGGAATTCTTGCCTAGTTTCTGATGTTTCCATGCTGTTAGAAATAAGTGCTGTTTTATTTAGTCTCTCAACATCAAAATAAAGAATGTATAGTAGGCTTGAAAGTTGGAGATCATAAAGTACTCTTTATGGTTTCTGTTAGATTAAATTCTCTTCACAGCATTAAGATTCATTTATTATGAATTTAGTTGTATAAATCGGTCTGTTGCCAATAAACATACGTTTATACTAGCTCTAGGATCAATGTTTTGAGAAGGGATAATGAAAGGATAATCTGAGCATTTAAAAATATATTTTTATTATTTTTGAGCGGAAGGGAGAAGGAGAAATAACAATGAGAGAGAATCTTTGATCCGCTGTCTCTGGCACATCCCACTCTGGGCATCGAGCCTGCAACCCGGGCATGTGCCCTGACCGGAATCAAACCATGACCTTCTGGCTCATAGGACGATGCTCAAACTCTGAGCCTTGCCGGCCAGGCTCATCTGAGCATTTTTAAAAGAATGTTGGTCTGAAATAGCTAGTGGAATAAAAATATATTGTACAAACTAAAAAAGGGCAAAAGAACTAAAGCTCTGTTTATGTACTAAAATAACAAGCAGTTCAAATGAGTCCAAGTGCTAAATATGCAATTATTTTCCTGATTACCTTATATGTACAAGAGTCTTTTAATTTTTTAAATCCCACATTCACTCCTTTTGTTATTTAAAAATATAAGACCCATTGAATCTAAGAAATGCAAAGTTTTGAGATTGCCATCTTAACTTACAGATTCACATTTTAGTCTAGTGTTTACGAGTGGCTACTTATAACTTGGTAGGTTGTTTGTCTCTAAAATTTGAAAACGATTAAGAAATGAATGGAGCTGAAACCGGTTTGGCTCAGTGGGAGAGCGTCTGTCTGCAGACTGAAAGGTCCCGGGTTCGATTCCGGTCAAGGGCATGTACCTTGGTTGCGGGCGCATCCCCGGTGGGGGGTGTGCAGGAGTCAGCTGGTCAATGTTTCTCTCTCATCGATGTTTCTAGCTCTCTGTCTCTCTCCCTTTTCTCTCTGTAAAAAATCAATAAAATATATTTAAAAAAATGAATGGAGTCTGACTTAACTATTGTCTGTCCAACCAATAGTAATCTTTTAATCCCTTGGTACTTTTTAAAAACCTGTGTCAACCTCTACAGGAATGACTTAACAAATGTTCCATATACATGTAGTAGCCATTTTGGTGTTCACTGATTTTATGAATGATTGTTGCAGCTTCCTACAGGGGTTTGGAAATACAATAGCTCACCTATGGAGAAGGGAGTTTCTGGGTGACCTCAGATCAGTATCAGTGCTGTTCACTCCAGTAACAGTGACCCAACTCCCCTCCCCTCTGACAGCTCTGTCCTCTGTATCTCTGAGTCTGTTTCTGTTCTGTTTGTTTATTTTGTTCATTAGATAGGATGACTTTTCTGTTTTTGTTCTAATATCCCTCACCAAACTCCAATTGGGCTGGGTGCCCCTCTTAAAAGCTCCTATTTAACTCTGTACTTTTTTTTTTTTTTTTTTTTTAATGTTGCCCCTATACTTACCTCCTTTTAAAGTATGACCTCTCATACTTAAAAAAAAAACAGACTCTCCTAGGTTCAAAGAATCACATTTAATAGGGTATGTTAGTTCTAGAGTTCTAGGAGCTCATGTTAGTTCTAAAAGCTTATCATAGTACCAAAACCACATCTTTTTAATAATCTTGGACCTTGACAGAAGGTAAGAATTTTATTAGGATTTTTCAGACACCTCCTTCCACTCACTATGATGAGTTGTTTATGTATCCTTAAGTGGTTCTTAACTATCCTCTTAGATGTTAGGCTTTGAGTAGAGTGAATGTATTGATTTTTATACTGAGTACAGCTCTCAGCTCTCAGGTTTAGTCCTCTTTCTCACCTTTGGAGTCCTGGTGGCACAGTGCCTGCTGTGACTCTGTCTGACTGCCTCAGCTTTGATTCTGTTCATTCATTTCTCTCATTCTGCCTTTTCTGTCACAGGGTTAGGCTTGCAGTAATGAAGAAGTGCTTGTCCTTAGCCAGAGTTGATATAAGTTAAAAGATGTAAGCAGTAAAACAAACAGCAAACAACCATGCAGATGGTAGTTATCATTGTGATCTTTTTGAGCTCAAGGTTTATATTTCTGTTTGCATTTTTAAGGTTTTAGGTCAGAGTTTTAAAATTAGGGCCAAGACCTTGGAGCTAGTTGCTAGGGTGTTTGTATTAATAGAAACAAATGGTGCATGTAGTGGATCAGCTGTAAGAAGTGTGCATGTGTACTGTGTGTGCTCATCCACTCATCCATTAAAAACCTGTAAGTGCGTACTGTGTTTAAAGACATGTTTTGGGCAGCTTGAAGTGCTTGTTTTCATAAGGGGGGAAGGGAGTGGAGATATTGGGAACTCTACAGTAGTCACAACTTGAAACGATAGAAATAAACTCTTAAGAGGGGTTCTAGATTATTCCTGAAGTTCTTTGTCCACACAACATGTAACCATGAAACCCAACATGTCAAAATCCCAAGCTGAGCTGCAGGCTTGCAATGAGAGAGGCTGGAAGACCCAGAATCCCACCAGCTCAGCATTCATCTTTGTTGCTTTTGCAAGACTTCCCTTGGAACCCCCTACGTGTCTTACAACCCAATTGGAAAACCCCTCCTCTAGACTATGGCAAAGATTTTAAAAAATGTGATTCCTTAGCCCAGCTGGTGTGGTTCAGTGGTTGAGCAGAGACTCTTGAAACAGGACGTCATAGTTTCATTCCTGGTCAGGGCACGTACCTGGGTTGTGGGCTCGATTTCCATTAGGGGGCATGCAGGAAATAGGTAATCCATGATTCTCTCTCATCATTGATGGTTTTATCTCTCTCTCCCTTTTCCCTGCCTCTCTCTGAAATCAATAAAAACATATAAAAATGTGATTCCTTAGCCTTTCCCATCATAAAAATTGAAAATTTTTTTCTCTAATGAGTTTCCTCTTTTTAAAAATACAAAGTATTATTGATAGCTTAGTTAAAGTTTTAAATTGCCAAATCTTTGTATATCTTTCTTATGAAGACTGATTTACAGAAAGAATCACTGAAAAATATTAGTTGATGGTAATATTAACAGATTTTCAAGGAATTAAATCTTATTTGGCGTATCCACTGATGAATTGCTTTATAGAGGTAGAAGTTTGACCTTGTGTGCACTTCTAGAAAAATTATGAAGGCTGATGATATATGTCCTGAGCTTGTGGGTTATAAATATAGGGAGGGGCAAAAGTAGGCTAATGATTGTGAATGTGTGAAACATGGAGCTTATTCTTGAATTATTATGTATTTACTAATTATTATATTATTCATTATTATTAACCTTTTTTTGCCTACTTCTATATTAGTGAAGTGGTCTGAATGCTTCAGTAAAAGTAAAGGAATCAAAGGGGCAGGTCTATCTCTATTGTTCGGGTTTTTAAGAAACTATACATTAAGGTATTCTTTTTATACTTAAAAATAAAAAAAGTTATTACTACTGCATTATTATTTTATTGCATTTATAATACAGATTTTAAAAGTTTTATTGTACTTTTTGGTAACTAATAATTTAATACTTTTTAAAAATCTTCCCTTACTTTTTCATCCTTTTTGTTTGTTTGTTTGTTTCATATTGTTTTACCCAAACTGAAGATGCCTATATTTTGAACAGGTTGAATTTGTGGTTTTGGCTGTAATTATCATGTCACAATCTATTTTTTTATTTTTAATCTTATTATACCTTTCTTTCTGCAGACTGGTGAATTTTCAGCTCGCTTCCTTTTGAAGTTGCCGGTGGATTTCAGTAACATTCCCACATACCTTCTCAAGGTAAAATTATGTAGTTGTCAATATGAGACTATAAATGAACTTTTAAAGTAATTATATTACTCTGAATATGTATGTGATTGATTTACCAGCATTTGTTTGGATGATTAATTCTATTAAAATACTAGAGGCCTGGTGCATGAATTTGTGCATGGGTGGGATTTGGTCGGCCAGCCACATGGTGGCCCATCAGGCCAGGCCAGCCATGAGTGGTGACTGGCTGGCCCTGCTCCCAATTGGGGTGTTGGGGGCCAATTGGGGGCCAGATCTGGCTGGTTGGCTGTTGCAGTTTGTGTCATAGCCATGGATTGACGCAATCCACTGTTCTAGTTGCTGAGCTTTTATATATATAGATTAACTGCATGAAGATCCATTAAGTTCCATTGTTACCTAAAAGCTAAAAGAGTAGCCCTAAAAATAATTTTGTAATGATGTTTAATTATAAGATAAAGTTAGTATAAGTAAATTAAACTTTGGAAAAAACACCCCTTTATAGTCAATAACCTTCTTGGCATGAAAGACCTGTTAGAAGTTGTCTGATATGCATTCCGTCTTTAAGTCGGATTGCATACTAACTATGCCTTGCTGAATGGCATTTTATTTTCTGTACTTTATATTAGCATTTGATCTCAGTCACCTCATAGTTGGCCCGACCTGAAGAGAACAAGAATCAAATTAGGCCAGTATACATAGCATTCTTTATTTTTATTTTTAAAAATATTTAATATATTTCTATTGATTTCAGAGAGGAAGGGAGAGGGAGATAGATACATCAATGATGAGAGCAAATCATTGATTGGCTGCCTCCCGCACACCGTCTACTGGGGATTGAACCTACAACCTGGGCATGTGCCCTGACCAGGAATAAACTATGACCTCCTGGTTCATAGGTCAATGTTTAACCATTGAGCCACACTGGCCTGGCCATGATATTCTTTAAAAATAATGCAGGCAAGGTGTGGCTTGGAGAGGGATCTGCAGATGCTTTGCAGAAAAAGGTAGAATGCAAGTGGCTAGGCTGAGGTTAGGGAGAAAGAAACTATTAATAAATGGACCAGGGAGCAAGTTCTGAACTGGAAGCCTAAGACCAAGGCCTAGGTTCATCACTAGATGCAGGTTTTGGTTGTGACTGTCCTCAGTTCCATATTTCAACCTGGGGCTATATAGCTTTAGTCTAATGTACGAAAAATCTCTACCTTCCTAATTTGATGTTGTTCAAAGGGTTAGCAGTGTTTATAACAGTTTAAAGAGAAGACAGAGTCCTATACAAGTTTTCCTGCATACTGTAGTGAGTAAATAATATTAGACATTAATCTTGATTATGATTGGAAGTGTGGTCTTCTGGAATATAAATTATAGACAATAGAAAAGATTAAGGAACACTTTTTTAATTTTCATGTTTCATTAAGTAAAGCATTGGATTTTTGTGCTTCATTACACTTTCATTTTTAGTTTCTAGAAGGCTAGTTTTCTACTCTATATCCAGGAGTTGTGAAGTCCAAGTGAGAATGGAAGTGAGCGATTTACATTAGTTTCTCCTCACTCCTGTTATAGGAAATATATGTATTAGAGCTGTGATTACTAAGCATAACTAATTCAGTTTCAGCACTTACTGTGCTCCATTAGAATAGCAAGCAGTTTCCTTGGAAACTCTTAGATCACAGACTCATTGACCTCCATATATTCCAGTTAAAACTCTATTTCAGACTATTTAAAACCAGATGCAGTAATTTAGGAAAGTACCTTATTTTTGTACTCATTTTACTCCACAATTTACAATTATAGTATCTTTGTTTGATTTTTGGGGCCTTACCAGTTTGATTGGTTGTCTTTTTTTTTCTTCTTTTTCTTTAAATATATTTTTATTGATTTTTTACAGAAAGGAAGAGAGAGGGATAGAGAGTTAGAAACATCGATGAGAGAGAATCATTGATCAGCTGCCTCTTGCACATCCCCCACTGGGGATGTGCCCACAACCAAGGTACATGCCCTTGACCAGAATTGAACCTGGGACCTTTCAGTCCGCAGGCCTATGCTCTATCTACTGAGCCAAACCAGTTTCGGCATGATTGTCTTGTTTACTTGAACTTGATGTTGCCTCTGCTCCTGTTCTTGAAGGTCAAAGGGGAAAAAAATGTTCCTTGAATCATAATCTATCTTAAATTTTTCTTTTCAAAATCAAATTTTCCCATTTTCTTTTCCGAGACTTCTAAATTTATATTATAATGCCCTTGCCTTTTTTTTTTTTCTTTTTTTTTTCCTAATCAAATAGGAGAAAAGTGGAATCTGTTTGGCAAATTATTAATAGAAGGCTTTTCTCCTTCCCCCAAATAAAAGTACTATGAAATGATTTTCTCCTGTAGGTGAAATGGGTACATTGGCATGAAAGATCTATTAAATCTGAGGTATTAAATCAGGCATGCACTGATGTCCTTTTGGATCTTTGTTCATGCAAAGAGAGTAAAACAACAAGTACCAAAAAAGAAATTTTTGAATAACACAAAACAATAGCAAAAAACAAAACAAAACAAATACCTATTTAAATCTATACAATTTTATTAACAAATGTCACCCCAATAAATTCAATTTTAAAATATTAAAAAAAATTACAAGCTCTTGGTGATTTTTGTCATCATGTTTTAATAATCCCAACACAATAAAAACAACAATAACAACAACAACAACCACCACTACCAATTGGCATTCCAGAATGTCTGTTGAGAGTTTTAAGATCTAAGTTCCTGAAGTTGTTGAATCATAACTTTGGAATATTTGGCTGTACTCTTAAAAATGAAGTTTGCATTAGAAATTGCTTTACATATTATTTGCATTTGGATGCTTCTAATTTTTAATTACTAGGCTTTTGACTGATAGTCTTAAGTTCTAAAATAAACTCTTCAAATTTCTAGGGTTAGGATACTCTTTACCGGCATCAGTGTAGTTTTACCTTGACATCCCAAATAAATGAAAGGTTAAGTAGACTTCTAACATTGAGATAGCATGGAGTTTGACTACACACCCTACTGATTTGCTATAGTTAAATTTTACCGCACTGTGAAAGCCATCATAAGTTTATATGTCCAAATGTATCTGTTTTACCCACTAATAGACAAAATGAGTTGTAGAAACGGGATGGAAACTTGAAAAACTGAACCAATCAAGTGAAATTGTTAAGAAACAACTAAAGTGATAGCATACTGGTCAAAGTAATCCTGGCTTTTCAAGAAATAGTTTTACAATAATTCATGATACTCTTGAAGTATATAATCTAATTGATGCTCTGTCTTTGAAAAGTTTAAAGGAAATGTTGCTGGGGAAAAAAACCACTTCAGGTGGTCCTATCATTCTTTCATATAGTCAGGGTCCATAGGTCATGGCATGAGTTAAACATGTGTATGACTTGTCACTGAAGATTGAGTATTAGTACATTTGCAGTTCTGAAATGTTTCATTCTTCTCAACTTCCACAGGAAGGAGGAGGGTTTGGCATTGTGTGTACCCAGAAGAGGAGAATTAGGCAAATTTATCTCCTTAAAATTTCTTTTTGGATGAATTCTTGCATTGTCGGAATTATTATCGGAACTGTTTGAAAGTTCATTTAGTTTTATACAGTTGCTATGAAGGAAACTGATAATTTCCCCCAAACATTCTCTTTCTTTAAAACCCAGCAAGCTTTTATTGTGACATGTATTGATAGTTGTTTCTCAGCGAGCATAAGATAGCAGACAGTAAAAGCACCCTGATCCTGATAAATGATTATAAATTCAAAAGCTGACCTCACAAAGATTTTTCTCTAAACCACAGATTAAATGATGCTTCAAAATTTGAGACCGTCTGGTTGACGGAACTTTTTGGATCCATAAAGTTACACTTAATAAGTAGCTTTTAGAAATAAAGACTGCTTTAACTTATTCTTGTGAAATCTGGTATTAAAGCAAAACAGTTGTTTGTTTCTTGAAAGACCATAAAGGATTCACAGATAACCCTCATCTTATCTTAAAGGAAATAGTTTCTCTCTAACCAAATAGGAGTGGGCATATTTTTATACAAATAGGAATATGTACCTGGAAGAGAGCGCCATATGTAGGGTACTGTTTGTTCCTGCAGTAAGTCTGATTTATCATGGCTAAATTTGAGCCAAAATTTGCATTTGAGACTTAATCACAAAGGAAGTTGTGAGATTGTTTAAAAACTTGTTCTGCAGGAAAAAAACTTGTTCTAATATTCTTTCATGAAGAAGGGGACCCATGACTGCCCTCAGTTTATTTTATTTTTAAAAAATATGTTTTTTTATTGATTTTTAGAGAGAGAGGTAGGGAGAAGGCTAGAGAAAAACAGCCTTGATTGATTGGTTGACTGCCTCCTGCAGCTCTCCCCAGCCCCGCCCTGTGGATTGAACCCACAACCATGTGCCCTGATGGGGAATTGAACCAGTGACCTCTCTTTTCAGCACTCTACTGCTGAGCCACACCAGCCAGGCTGCTCTTATTCTATTGTTCTTGTTCTCCCTCCTTTCTCTAGAGAGAGAGCAGGGCTTGGAGGAAAATACACTCCAGATCAAAGTGCCTGGATGTCTTTTCTAAAGGGCAAGATTGTAAAATTTTAGGCTTGCAGGCCAGATGGTCTCTGTCACAACTACTCAGCTCTGCTGTCATAGCATGAAAGCAGCCATACACTGTATGTAAATGAACCCGTGTGGCTGGGTTCCAATAAAACTTTATTTTCACAAATAGGCGCTGGGCTGGATTTGGCATGTGGGCAATTGTTTGACCATCTCTTTTAGATTATGGAGAAGAATGTTTCTTCACAACCGCACCTGGGTGGCATAGAAAGATAAGTAAAGGGATCTATCTGGTTTAATGAGCATGGGTGGGTTTTAATTCCATGCTCTCTTAGCTGATATTTGACCTACACCTTCTACTTGGGTGAATTCTCCATCCTTCTTTTATGTCCTTTTTTTTTCTTTCTGTTTTCTTCCCTTTTTATTCCATTTTCTCTCTCATT